ATATAAAATACAACATTGATTTTAGGGGGAGGGGGTTAGGGGGACAGAGGGGAAGGGGATAGGTATGTCTACTATGAAAAATGGGGCCATTTTACAGAAGTGTGTCAACACTTTTGTCCCTCATTGTAGGAGATGCAATGGCAAATCAGGTTATATTTCTGCTGAAATAATTACCATAGAAACAAGAATTAACAAATTATTGAATACCCAAGACTAATCTCCTAATAATCTCCGACTGATCCCCGATCATAGAAACAAGGATAAGCCAATTTTCCGGGACTACTCCCTTATATAGTGGAATCTCCTCTCTACGGAAACCCGCATATAATGGGCAGTTTCAGTTGTCCCAGCGAAAAGCTAAAAAACGGACACTGGTTGATACGAACAACGGACATTTCTGTGTCCCGAGTCACATACTCGTACATCGTCAACCCCGCTGTACGGACACTGTTTATCTGCGCAGTGTCCATGACTGAATACCGTAAAATTCCGAAAATAAGCCCCCCAAACCGGTAACGTAAAAAAACCCTCCGTTTAATCGCCCCTCCGAATATAAGCCCCCCAGGGGCTTGTACTTGGAAAATTGCCCTCAAAGACAAAGTAAAACAAAGCAAAAACGGTAAATTTACTTCCAACTATGAGGCTAGCCCAATCGATATTGAAACGCAAACTTCCCTCCATAGATAAGCCCCTCCGAATATAAGCCCCTCCAAAAATAAGCCCCTCAAAAAGGGCCTTTGAAAAATATAAGCCCAGGGGCTTATTTTCTGAATTTTACGGTATCTTACTAGTGAAAGCGTAACAGAAACGAGGATTAACCTTTCAGAAGTTTAGTCTAATATTGTGCGCACCTGGCTTCGTCGCAAACTAAAACGGCTAGTGTAAAGTCAAAGTGACGGATTCCATTGTCGTGTTTACGTTTAAGAACACTGACTTAAACAGGGAATTTCAGCCGAGCTTAGATAAAAGATCTTAAATTTTCTTTAGAATAAGCCTGTAACAGTTTTAAAACAACGTTTTGTCGTGGAAATGTCTCAGTGTTATCGTCCTCATGTCAATAAGGCATGTGTCCGTGACTTTTTTGCTGACAGCCCGCTTAATACAGACACCAAGTTAATACGGTCACTATAAAATGTCTGTATTGACCGGGTTCCACTTCATATGGTCAAGGTAGGCTTTCAGACTCTTTCGTCTGAGGGTTGTTAGTAGAGCTAAAATGTGAGGTCTAACTTAGGGTGCGTTTTGTCCCCACTGGTATGGAACCGCGGTTTAGGATTGGGCGTGGTTTTTTGTATCTGTTGTGGTTCAATTTTATCATTGGTTTAAATTTTCTTTCCTTTTGTTTTTGGGTATGGTAATGTATGATAATGACATGATAATGAGCTTGAAACAAAAGAAAAGAAAATTTAAACCAAGGATAAAATTGAACCACAACATATCCATGATCATGAACTTCCTTTTCAGCATAGTGGGAAACTACGGCTAACAGAGATAATGCATCCGCTCTCTTAAGGTCCTTTGTGTCTACGAATCCTAAATAGAGCAATTAGCATTGTGTGAAAAATACGACTGGAGTTGAAAAAAATGGAACTTGAGGGTATATTCAGTATTATTTTACTTGTGCTTCGTCTTGGCAGAGTTCAGCAAATGCTCTTAGAGCAGCGAAGTGTTCGTCCTTTTTTTGTAATCATGTTTATTGTCTAGTGCATTTTAAATTTTACTCTTTTCATGCGCCAAGCCGCGGCCGAGCTGATCTGTAATCAGTCTATTTACGTTGGGTAATTTTTCTTGATCGCGTGTTTCAGACATCTTAATTCAGATCCTTCAATGGGTGTACCCAACGGTTGTAATCGGGGAATTTGTTTGTTTCCGAAGCGACAGGAAACCCACATCAATTATCAAAGGGTTTGCATAACCATCTCTTTTTATTTTTGAAAACCTTGAAAATTACGGAAATTGAGTGTGGAAGATCGGCGGGCGAGCTGTCCTAAACTTGTTTAATCTCGAATATCAAAAAAGGAAAATGAGAGTAGATTTCAGTGTATGAGCATTATTTATGAGAGGCACCCGATTACTCAAAGGTAATGAAACCGAATGCAAAACCGAAGGCGGGGCCAAACAAGAGGACGAAAGTCGTAAGTTAATGAAAAAACCTAAACATCAACTTTTGCCCATTTTTTCACAGGGTTGTTTCATGCTGAAAGTGGGTTTTATAATAAACTTGGTACTTTGCTTAACCCATTCGCCCAGGCTGGAAATTTTGCCGAAAAACGCGTTAGTTCTGAAGCTAGTGGAGCGGTTTTCTGGTCACGGTCGTGCTATAAAGAGCTAAAACTTACCATAAAGCCATTTTCGCGGCCTTCTGATAATACAGATGCAAAATATTAGCTTGCGAAGTTCGGGCATGCGCAGAAAGCAGTCTTGACTTTTCGTTTGGCTTCCTCTCCTCCCCTTTTTGGTTTCGCTTTCCTTGCCTCATATTTTTTCTTTAGCTGGGAATTAAGTAAGCTTCATAATGGTGGGAAAAGTTTTTTGGAAAGCTTTTAGGATCTTAGGATTAGATGAAAGAAGAAGTAGTTGGGTAGTGGAACCAGATTTTCATGGAAATTTTCAGGTCAATGTTACATGTTTTTTTTGCCTTTTTCTCCGGTGTCCTTGACTGAATTGTGCTCATTCTGGTATGGTTTGAAAGATCTCTTTCCCTTTGCACAAGTTAGCGGACAAAGTTGTCCTTGACTTGGCGGTAGAAGGGACGTGGATCCGCACGGGCGGTTAAGGGCGGTTCAGTGGCCAATTGTTTTAAAAAACACCAGGGTCCGGTTCCTGAAAGACCGATTAGCGCTAATCCAGGATTAAAATTTTGTTCCATTTTTTGTATGTACCTTCCTATAGATTGCTTTAGAGTAAAAATCTTGTGCTATCATTACTTTATCTAATTATAAGAATAAAGGCTCAACAGTATTTTGTAAACTTAAGTTACATGTTCTTAGACGAGGAAAGGGTACTTAAAAGTAGGCTTTATCTTGTGTTAAACTTAACCATCTTTCGAGGAACCGGGCCCAATTTAGGACGACAGGTTCCTTGACCTCCATTTATGATGACGGTATTGTGGCCATGATCAGCTGGGAAGGATATTACTTATTGCGAGCAGAAAAAATTGTTGCAGTGAGTCCGCCAAGCAAGTAAAGAAGAAATAGGTACTGAATTCTATTTGGCTCCCAACTGCTACTGATCATTTGCTATTCTGTTTACTTATCATCCCCGTAGAAAATGTTTTCCTGCTCAGCAAGGTTATTTAGGGACCGGTCATTATTTATCGCCGGGGGGAAGGATTTGGGGCTAAACAAGGTGAAATTTAGCCGATCCCCCCCCTTTGAATGTTATTGAAATGTTCCCCCCGAATAACATTTGATGACTTTCGCGAATTCCCCCCCCCATGTCTTCATTTTCAAAGCAAATTTGAGTGGTCCCCCCCTCTGAATCCTTCCAAAGTTTTCAGTGATCCCCCTTTGGGTTCTCAGTTACGACTGATCCCCCTTTTTGTTCTCCTAAAAATCAAGTGATCGATCCCCCCAAAATCCTCCGCCCCCCCATTCCCAGACGATAAATAATGACCGGTCCCTTAACAGCTGACACTTAATTTTTCCGCTATTCCCTCGCTACGAACTTTCGCTTCTGTTCCCCAGTCATTAGTTTTTTTTTGTCCTGAAACTGTCGATTTGCATCGTCCTTCTTTTAGTTAATACTTAATTTTACCCCTTTTATAGGAATCTTAGCGATAATCATGATCCTTTTTACTGATATCAGGCGAGACTGTAATTTGCATATGCGTTCAGTTAACTATGTTAATATGGCTCTGAAGTTATAGAATTGCCGGACGATTGATTAAGAAAAACTTAACTTGGTGAATAAAACACGGGATATTGAATATTAAACATTCTAATCATTTTCGACTGTTTACACTTTGTCTCAGTCGAATGGAAATGTGTTCAAAAATAGTTTACAGCGCATTTTCAACCCCTTTTCTCGTTCAGTTTTTTTCTGGAAAGGTGGTGCTCTCTTTACGTATTTTCGACGAAATAAGAGTGGCCACCATCGCTACTGATAAAACAACGATCTTAGGGATAAGACGATCGCACTGCCACTTCGATGAAGTTTGACAACGTCAGTCTTTCGATGACGGCAAAGAAATCTGCCAAAAAGTGTACTGCATGTTCAAAGTTTTGTTTTGCTTATAACTTTTGCCTTTTGTATTTTCTCGTTTCCATCATTGCCGTTCTTGTGGTTGCTCAACCTCGCAAGACCATTTCGTTCAAAAACCGCCGATTTAATGAAAAACGCGCGACAAAACGACTACCGCAGGTACCCATTACAGGCTCAAAGGTCTTTCTTTAAAGACCTGTAATCAAAAAAACATTCTAATAAGCAGCTCTTAGCGAGTTAATCGTCTCTTTTGCTACAAAAGTGTTTCGTTTTATTATTTTTCAGCCTTACACATTTTCGACTTTGAGCAGCTGCTATATTGCTCTGGGAAGACTGAGCCGCTGTAAATTAACTCCAAATACGTCAATAACGTTTCAAATAATATTGTTTTTTGCCATTTGACTGACATTTTTTAGCACTTATAAAAATGGACCTATCGTTATTCTTAACAGGAAAACGTATTCACATTTTTGTGTGATGATTACGTCACATTTAAATTTTCCTCTCTCTGTTAAGAGAGAAACGAGTTCATATTTCAGTACAACTAATACCCCGGAGTGGACTCAAACTATTTTTTACATGTACACGGTTGCAAACAAACAAAAGGGCGGAAGACGACAGTATTAGTTAGCTACGGTCAATAATTAGAGAAATTGTAGATAAACATATCGCTGGTGAAATTCTAGACACTGTTCCGTTAGTCAAGCGAAGATGCATTTTCTCAGAAACACCTGCAAGACCCTTTAACATTGTATTCTACCACAGAACCTAAAAGCTCTTTATTAGCGCTTTATACAATGACGGAAGCTAAAGGTTCGTATTCAACGCTTGTCATTAACTGCGTCTTAAACTCTTTCCTATCTTCGACCGCCATTCTGTTGATCATCATAACGATACAGGCGCTCAGAAAAACGCCGTCGTTGTCGAAACCTTTAAAAACATTGCTCCTGAGTCTGGCTGTTTCTGATCTGTGTGTTGGCTTTCTGGTTCAACCCACTTATATCGCAGTTCTCATAATGAAAATAGAACAAAACGCTGACAACGGGGCTTATTATACAATATATGACGCATTCTGCATCCAGAGCTATTTATTTAGTTTTGCATCGTTTTTTGGTATTGTTGCGTTAACTGCTGATAGATTCTTGGCAAGCCATCTTCATCTCAGATACCAGGAACTTGTGACTCACAAGCGTGTTGTTGCTGTAGTTAGTTCAGTCTGGGTTTTAAGTACCTTAATTGCCTTGCTTGCTCTGCAATGGATAAGGATCCTCGCCTATATCTTAGCAGCCATTCATATTGTGTGTTACATAACTACAGGCCTTTTTTATTGCAAGATATACGCTGTCATTCGGCACCACGCAAACCACACTCTGCAACAATCAGCACAGAATGAAGACGTGGCGAATGTTGCAAGGCTGAGAAAAACTGCAGTTGTTACATTTTACGTGTATTTGGTGTTTTTAGTTTGCTATTTGCCAATATTTTGTACTGGTGTTGCAAGAATCCATGGTGAAACTCCCTTGTTATCACTTTTATCAGAGTTTAGTTATACCTTTGCGTATCTGAATTCATCTCTCAATCCGCTGATCTACTGTTGGAAGATGAGAAAAATACGTCAAACTGCCAAGAACATACTAGAAGGCATCTTTCCCTGTGGTACCTGAATAGAAGCTATATTTCAGAACAACTCTGCTTTCTATCTCGGAGGAAAAAAAAACCCTTATTAACGCAATAAAGTTTTTAAAAACATGATGTACTTAAAAACCTGTGATGCTTTCTGTTAGGGATTACTTTTTCTGCTACAGACCTTGAAAATTTAAAGATTATTTAAAAAAGCTGTTTATTGAAATTCATGAAACCGAGAAAGAGTTGAAAAATGTCAGTGGAATTCAGACAAGTGAGTGAATGAATGCGAATTACGATTTGATAAACACGGTACCGTGCAATGAGTGTAAGTAGTATACAAAGAAACAAAAGTCCTCCAGTAAAGGCGTTTTTTGGCATTCTGCAATATAGGTCAGAGGTGTTGAAGCTTTTAACCATAGGGCAAGCAATACACCCCCCCCCCCAAAAAAAGGATAAGTAATTAAACTTATCTGGCAAAAAAGTCCATTGAATTATACTAGAGATGGCAAAAAATGTATCTTTATCGGAATACCTTGGATTATTTGTTGTATTAATAGACGGTTCGAGAAGGAATTAAAAATGGCAGGAGACAAAAACAAACACGCAGTTTGGGCCCTTCCGCTCTCTTTACGGGTGTTAATAATTACCTTTCTGCAGAATTATGACAACAATACGCTCGTGGTAACGCTAAACGAAATGGCCTGTTTTGTGCCTAGTACTAGGATCTTGCTAGTAAAGGCAGTTTACATGGAGCTAGGATCTTCCTACCTGTTAGCTAAGAAGATCAAACCGCTAGGGGCAAGTACAACCCATTGCATGCAAACCGAATACAGAAAACATATGGCGAGGGAGGAAGATCCTTGCAGGAACATCCTAGAAAGCGGATCATCCTAGTGCCATATGTTTTCTGTATTCGGTTTACATGCGGAAAATTGTACTTGTCCTTAGCGCTAGGATCTTCCTATCTGAGCGGTAGGAATATCCTACCACTAGGAAGATCCTAGTACTAGGGACAAACCACACAAAAATGGCGTCAGTTCGTTCAGTGGGTAATCTTTAATCTTTAATTCCTTCTCTACTGTTCACCTCACGGACCGAAATTTCTGCATGTTAACGCAACCAAAAGTTGGTTCGCCTTGTAGGATCTTCCTAAATGCTGGGATCTTCCTCTCGTCATATAAACGGGCCCTTAGACAAGAAATACTAAAGCAAGAAAAGAAGAAATAAGTAATTCTACTTTTTACGGTTCCTAACTGCTTGTGATCATTTGCTATTCTATTTACTTATCATCCGTTCCCCGTAGAAAATGTTTTCTCGTTCCGCTAATTCCCTCGCTACGAATACTCGCTTCTGTTCCCCAGTCATTAGGCTTTTCCCCTGAAACGGTCAATTTGCATCGGCCTTCTTTGAATTAACACTTAATTTTGCCCCTTTTATCTGCAACTTTGCGATAATTATGACCCTTAAGCTTTTTTCTGATATCAGGCGAGACTGAAACTTGCAGATGCGTTCAGTTGACTATGTTAATATGGCTTTGAGGATATCGAATTGTCGCGGACGATTGATTAAGAAAAACTTAACATTGGGTGAATAAAAAACGGGATATTCAATTCTAATCATTTGCGACTGATTACACTTTGTCTTATTAGAATGGAAATTTGTTCAAAAACAGTTTACAGCGCATTTTTCAACCCCTTTTCTCGTTCAGGTTTTTTTTTTCGGGAAAGGTGGTACTCTCTATGCGTATTTCCGACGAAATCGAAGTCTCGACCATCGCTATTGATAAAACAACGATCTTAGAGATTAGACGATCGCATTGCTATTCCAATCAAGTTTGACAACGTCAGTCGTTCGATGACGGCAAAGAAATCTGCCAAAAAGTGTGCTGCATGTTCAGAGTTTTGTTTGCTCATTACTTTTGCTTTTTGTATTTTCTCGTTTCCCTCGTTGTCCTTGTCGTGGTTGCTCAACCTCTCGAACCCATTCTCGATATAAGACCATTTCGTTGAAGAACCGCCGATTTGATGAAAGACGCGCGACTAAAGCGACGTCCCCAGGTACCCATGAGAGACTCAAAGGTCTTTCTTTAAAGACCTGTATCAAAAAAAACCAAAAAACAAAAAAAAGCATTCTAATAATTAGCTCTTAGCGAGTTAATCGTCTCTTTCGCTACAAAAGTGTTTCGTTTTATTTTTTTTCTGCCTTTACACATTTTCGACTTCGAGCAGCTGCTACATTGCTCTGGGAAGGCTGAGCCGCTGTAAATGGACTCCAAATACGTCAATAACCTTGAAATTAATATTGTCTTCTCCCATTTGACTGACTTTTTAACACCCTTAAAAATGGACCTATCGTTATTCTTAACAGGAAAACATATTCACATTTTTGTGTGATCCACCAGGAAAATCACTTTTTAGTGGATAAGTATTAGGAAAATCAATTGCGTTTTTATCCACCCGATAGAGATTTTTCCAGTGGAAAGTTTTATCCAAACCTTCTGGAGTTAGGGTCGTGTCGACGACAGGTATTGGCTAGTAATAGAAAAGACCGGCTGTACAGAGCATACCAAGTGTACAGGGTGTACTAAGTGTACCCGAACTCTTAGTCCGACTATAACCCTAACCCTAATCACGTCACGTTCCTAGACGCCGGACTCGGGTCCAGACTCCCACGCGGTCTAGCTCTTTGGGGTCCATACTCCACGTGACTCAATCGCTGACTGCAAGCTCATCTGACCGCTGATCAGGTACTTACAGTGTTACTGCAAGCGCAAAACGCTTGCAACGGGCCGATCCCTACTTACATACCTGAAAAAGTTAACTTAAGAGAGGCGACTCCTTAATCGGCGCCCTCGCGGAAAGTCCTTGCTCTATTTTTCCACAGAATTTCTCTCTTCAATCACAACCGAAGCTATCACCTATTCGTTTGTTAAATTAAGTCACTCTTTGCCTTTAATTTCCCAAGGTTTCATGGTATAAAACTGATGAAAAGATCCGCTAAGGCTCAAATAAGAGTAACAAATACGTTTCCTCGATGTCGGCACCAGAAGCGATTATTGATGACGTCATCGAGTATCCAGAAATCGTTATGACCCGGACTGACAAAAGATAAGAAACTGAAAACACGATTCGTGGAAATATATATAAAAACAGAAAGTGTGAAAAGTGCATGTACATTTAAGCCTGAAAAGGGAAAAATGACAGTTATTATTGCAAAAAATTATGAGAGTAGAATGATAGTGCAATAATACTGTGGCTCTTTCAAGGGCCCTAAAGCTCCGAGTACACTAAATGTAGAAGGGTTGCCTGAGAACGAGAAGGGCTCAATATGTAATTTTCCTTCTGGTTTCTGTAGCTGGTTTACTTTAACCTGATTATTGAAGAAGAAAATCGAACACAAAGATGAAGCTAAAATTTGCAAACCTGTACAGTGCGAGGGAGAAAAAATAGCATTATGGGTCATGACGTTAAGCCTTTTAAGGTTTAAAAACCTTCTCTCCTTTGTTCTTCCTTTATCAGTGAACTAGAAGGGGAACCCACACCACTGTTCGAGAAGAGAAGGGTACATTTTCCTGGTAGTGTGGTCTAGCTCTACCTCTGTCATCCCGCTTTACTTATCACATATAATTGTACAGTGAGCTTATAAATGGACCGACAGTCGCAGCCGGTGGTGCCATTGTACACTGAAGTCCGAACTTACTGTTCATATATGATGTAAAAAAGACATGTACTGTACATGTTGTCCTGTCATCAAATTATTTCGGTCGCATCAGGAAAAATTAGCAAATTACCCACCCTTGGGTGAACTTTGATCTCGAATTCCAGTCTACACGACCTGACGAATGCCCTACAACCGCACTTGGCTGGAAGAGGCGGGATGGGCAGGCTTAGAGTTAAGGCATGTATATGTACTAATGCACAAACTCGGTTTGTGTACTGGATTATCAATTTCACTTCGTTTTCCTGTAATATTATTTAGCTATTATTTATCTTCACCCTTTTTTGAAACATAAAAATTAGCAATATCTATGGATATTTGGCAGATCAGATATCTCATGCCAGGCCATAACACTTGAGTTTTCCTAATGTATGATATCCTTCCTCTTGTGAATCATCCAAGTCTGCCAGTCTGATCTGAGTCACAGGAAGAGCTCCAATTGAGCTGTGCTAACTCCAGTGTAAGATACATCTTTTCTGTAACATCCAGGAGTCNTGGTAGTGTGGTCTAGCTCTACCTCTGTCATCCCGCTTTACTTATCACATATAATTGTACAGTGAGCTTATAAATGGACCGACAGTCGCAGCCGGTGGTGCCATTGTACACTGAAGTCCGAACTTACTGTTCATATATGATGTAAAAAAGACATGTACTGTACATGTTGTCCTGTCATCAAATTATTTCGGTCGCATCAGGAAAAATTAGCAAATTACCCACCCTTGGGTGAACTTTGATCTCGAATTCCAGTCTACACGACCTGACGAATGCCCTACAACCGCACTTGGCTGGAAGAGGCGGGATGGGCAGGCTTAGAGTTAAGGCATGTATATGTACTAATGCACAAACTCGGTTTGTGTACTGGATTATCAATTTCACTTCGTTTTCCTGTAATATTATTTAGCTATTATTTATCTTCACCCTTTTTTGAAACATAAAAATTAGCAATATCTATGGATATTTGGCAGATCAGATATCTCATGCCAGGCCATAACACTTGAGTTTTCCTAATGTATGATATCCTTCCTCTTGTGAATCATCCAAGTCTGCCAGTCTGATCTGAGTCACAGGAAGAGCTCCAATTGAGCTGTGCTAACTCCAGTGTAAGATACATCTTTTCTGTAACATCCAGGAGTCAAACCACACCCAGGGATATTGGCAACATAAGTTCTACTCTCACTGTCGTGACTTATGACTGTCACGCCAACTCCTCCCTTGTCACTCATATCACAATACACACTGAACGGAGCCACGCCTCCTTTGCCATCAGGGTCAATAATATAATTACCTGAAGGCTTCTCACTGCATTTGAGTTTTATATTGCTGCAAGACTTAGGCGTAACATTGTTCACTTCAATAACAGATGTTGCAGTTACTGAACGCAGAGAGTTCTTTGCCACTCACGTGTAGGATCCTGCATCATTTGGTGAAATGTTTGTAAGAAGCAAAGTACCATTTGGGTAAAGAACGTGATTTTGTGAAAGATGCTTTCCCACTCTAGTCCAGTCAATTTCTATTGCACCCTGAGCTTCACAGTTCAACATCAACATGCAAGACACCAAGACAACAGCTTTAAGGGGTGGAGTCAGGGTAAACTTGAGCCTGTCAATCACAGTCACCTGTGCGATTGCGGAATCATGTCCAAGGAGATTCTTTGCACTACACGCATACGTCCCGCCATCTGCTTTTTCTACTTTGAGTATTGTAAGGCTCCCATTTTCCACTGCCGTTTTCTTCTTTGGTACCCGGCTAAACGCTTTTTGCCACGTGACAATCGGTATAGGTACACCACTAGTTTTACACTGCAGGGTGATGTTCTCTCCTTCTTCAACCATTACAGATAACGGCCTTTGAATAATTAAGGCTCCCACTGCAATAAAAAAAAAACAGTTTTGAACAGCCTATCCCCCGGTTTTCTTGAGGGTTAAAAACATCCTCTTTCTCTAACTTAAGACAGCTTTTATTGCGAGATAAACTCTTACACCATTTGAATTGCTCTAAGTTAACAAAATATTTCTCTCTCCTTCGTAGAGTTTTCTAAAAGTAAGAAAAAAGAATTATTCAAAAGTTAACACGCTAGGGGTTGATAAAAAGGCAAAAGACGTTTCACCGTTCACTTACCCTCTGCCACGCCTCTTCGCAGTTTAGTGCTTACAGTACGCCGCTTGCCTTACTAAGGCAAGTCCGAAGTCACCCCACACGCGCAGCTTAACGCAAATGCGATAAGGAACGGACCATTAGAAAAGTTATAAAAGGGGTGGGGGGCTGGGGCGAAGTACAGAAAGATTTATTCATTGAAGAGAAAATTAACGAAGGAAATAAGAGATATTCTAACGAAAAAATACAGTGGAACCTCTCCTTTATTTGGGACACCTCTAGTAATTGACACCTCTATTCAAGGGACACAAACTTTGGTCCCGGAAAAACACCCACATATTCTTTGTATCTAGAAATACCTCTCTTGAAGGGAAACCTCTATTCAGGGAAAAGGAACACTTTTTCTGGGTCCCAAAACCCAAGTTTAACCTCCACTCAGAGGACACCTTAGCACTCAAAAAGTGACTGACCACAAAGAGGGTTGATATCTTCAGGTTTGCACTAATCACAAATGTGGAAGCTTTCAAAAACTTAGCTATGTAAGTGAAATTGATAAAATTTAAATTGATGTGATAAGAACCTGGGTAAGCACCTTGTCGGCCAACATATAAAGTCTGAGAGATAAGTTAATGATGATTTCTGTATGTTTTCGTTGTTGGTTAATTATTAACAAACCCCAGCCTCTATTCAAAGAACACTCGGTTGCAAGGGTGTCCCCTGAATAGAGATTTGACTGTATTCGTGCAGCTCAAAACCTTCTCACCCCCGCCATAACTTTTCTAATGGTCCGCTCTTAAAGCGGCGATGAGCATATGCACTATCCTTCATATGACTAAAACGTTATGTATTAGGAAGCTCTTCGTAAGACCAAAGGACAATATTATGTGCATGTTGGCAGTTCGTCAACAGGAAAATTACGCAGCACGTTTTGCCGAGCTTTTAAATTGGTAAAATTTGCTACAGTCTGAATACGAATATCCCTAACTCCACAGCGTGAAATAACAGTTTACAATTTGACTGGTATAATAAGCGAAAATTTTTATAGCTCTTATTATAGCATTGGATTATCACCCCCACCCCGAGCCCCTCGAATTATCACCTTGGACAGTTAACTTGGCCGATGATGTCGCCACGCCAAGAATGTTACTTGCTTTGCACGTATACACTCCGCCATCCCTAGATGCCACATCTCGAATCACCAGTCCACCACTTGTTCGCACGATTCTTTTATCCACGGGAAGGCTGGAGTTTTCCTTTAGCCACGTGAGTTGAGGTGTTGGATTTCCTTTAACCTCACACTGCAGTGACACTATACCGGTTTCGTTGACCACGATGGACACCGGAGGTGACACAATAGAAGGGGCTGTGATAGATTCACCAGGATCGCCCTTGGGTCCTGGACGGCCTTGATCGCCTTCAGGTCCAGGAGGCCCCTGATCTCCTTGAGCACCTTTAGGCCCCTGTGGTCCCTGGGGTCCGGCTGGTCCGTGTTTGCCGGGGGGACCGGGCCTGCCTCTTTTTCCTCTGATCCCCCTCGGGCAATGCGCCTTGCAGAGCAATCTATTCAAGGCCAGCTGAACTTCCCTATTGAGGTCCTCATGAGTAATGATAACACTGACGTTAGATTTCTTATTTCTATTTTCTGAGTATCGTTTCTGACGACTATGTGTATCTGCAACAGAAGAGAAGATTTGTGTTAACTCTAACTCCACCTTGTCCTCACCGCCTTACACACCAAAGTTTCTATAGTAGCACCATACCCAGTATCACCGGCTCAAAACAGACAAGACAGCCGTTACAAAATTACAATCATCCCCCTGAATTAGACTCTAAAAGCAGCCAGCTATACTCTTTTCAAAAACAATTTGATAGAAATTTAGACTCTGTCGTTCGGTCTCTGTTTGGTTCCTGTTTGTTAACGAACAGTGTTGTGATAATATATTATCATTCTTGATTCGGATTCCATCACTTGTTTTGTTTCTCAACAAAAATATTTTTAAAACATCTAAATAAATCATTTGGGCGACTGTTGGTTATGAGAAAGTGGTGAATAGTCTTTGATCAAGTTTCGAAAGTAAGAAACTGCCCTTTACCATCACTTGTCTTGGCGGAAGAGCTGGAGCTAAGGGATAGACGGAAAGGGGACTCAGAGGCTTCCTCCTTTCTTTGTTTTTCTTTCCCCCCTCTCCCTCCCTCCTCCTCCCGCGTTTTGGCACTACGTATTGAAGTCCACACTACGGAGCAAAATGAGGAGATACTACGACTCCCTCCCAGACTCGTGCTTTAAAACTGCACATACTAACTGAATTTTAGTGCTTACGCACCCCCTCTCCCCGAGGAATCTTGCACTGCAGGCTAAATATTTTTATCACAAATAACATTGAGCAACTTCATTTAAAATTGTGCATGAGGATTTTGAGCCGAACCGGAAGACTTCGATATGACGTACGCGACAATACTCTAGGTAGTCGCTTCTAAATATTATGATAGAGCATTCAACTTTTGAGTTCTCTACCCCGGGGTTGTCTACCGGAACCAGTAAAACTGTGTTAATGATTTTATTGTGCATGTTGGTAGAATGTTTGTTTCTCTGACGAAAGACCTCAGTCGCAAGTCATATAATGCAATCAGAAATTGAGTTCTCGAAAGAACGTCTCGAAAATCTCCGAACAAAGAAAAAACAAGACACTACTGAAAACACTCACCTTTACTAGGCTAACTAACTGGCATCACAGAAGCAATCAGTTTATCGTCCACAGTACGTAGTGAGTGGACATTTTCCTCTCTCTGTTGAGTCAAAACTTGAAGCATTTGTCGATGAGCGTGAAGCTCGATCTCGACGTGGATCAGTGCCACGAAACAAAGAGCAAAGGATAAAGCTATTAATGAAAACACCAGAGTGTTGGAGACGGGACCCTTTTTTGATGGCTCCATTATACAACAGATTTTTTA